CCTCCCGCGTGCGATCATCCATTTCCGGATCTGAGTTGGCGTGCAACATACACTCGCAGGTTAAATTCGGCTGCATTATCCCAACTACGTGATCTACATGTCCAGAAAGGCAGAAGCGTGTCTCACGATCAGTAAATTTTGGCTAACGCATACAAGACACATACGAGCGATATCGGAACCATCATCGATATTCTCCCTTCGGCCACGGATTCGCCAAAATGTGCTATTAGATGAAAATTGATTCGTAATCGCTCGCACAAATTCAGCAATTTGCTTACAAATTATATCAATGTTACATATTTGATGTGTTAATTTTTTAACATAAAATCTTTACATAACAATTTTGTTGCGTTTAATATTTATATTATTTTCTAACATGTTTATTTTGTATTAAACTAACATCAAAATTTAAATAAACCGCTTGGGACCGCACGTTAAATACACATATATTAAATTTAACACAAATTTTCCAACTGCTGTACTTTTCTCCAATGCTTAGAATCAGAAAAAGAAAGTACATTAAACTGAGATTATTAGAGTTACTTTACATTGATATAAATAGATCATTAAGTTGGTTTTTTGAACGAAGAGTTTCGAACGATGTTATCGTGCGTGGCACGATAGTCGCTGTGCGACCATGCGTGACCTTCTTTCTTTCCTATCCCGAAGACTTCATATCCTACGACTTACGGTAATGCCGCGCTCCAGGCGAGCGGGCAGGAGCGCACGTCGCTACGGAAAAGCGCCGCTCGTCCGAACACGGTAAAGTGACGGCAAAGTGCTCGTCAAATTATAGGTATGCACTCGGGAAACGTTTACCGCACCGTTGGAGCATATTCGCCGGTACGGTGGTGCGCTATGCCGACGGTACCTGCTCGACACGAATTTTCAGGAGAGTCCCTGGGTCTTCACCCAAGGGAAGGTCTGGAAGAGCGACGGAATGCAAGGTAGGCGGACCACTTTTGCCCCCGGTAATTTCATTATTCTGAGATGGCCCCTATATCGCGAGCATCTCTATATCCTACCTCAGTCCTGGAAATTCAAGCTCAATTCGAGCTTTCCGACCAATGATGTACGAAACGAACCACTCGAAAGAGTAGGACGATAGAAAAAACACTTATCCTCCGCTTCTGCCCGCTTCGAGATCGTCCCATTAATAATGCACGTTTTAAGTGCAACAGCATTAAGAGACCATTAGTACGCGCCAAACGCGTGGGAAGAGAGATTTACATACAGTTGTACCAAGTTTGATGAAGCGCGCGCGGAAAGAAGTTCGGAGTTGAATCGGATTTCGCTAATCGCAACTCGCGACGGAAGTTTCACGTCTCTTATTATTAGAATCCTGCTTTCGTGAGAGATTCTATTTTATTTCCTTGTTGTGACGATTCTATTTTATTTCCTTGTTCTCTTTTAAAGCTGCTACACTGAGAGAAAATGTCAGAGCAAACGTTACTTACGTTCTCTTCGATATTCGTTGTGAAAAAATTTATAAGGACAAAATATACATTTCTATGAAATACAATGACATCTGATTAATTATTTAAAAAATTAAGTACGTGGCTTATTTGCTGGGAAGAAAATTTTATTCCGTCGTATTTGAATAAAGATTTATTTCGATGAAATAAGTATATTTCTCACAAATAAATTTTTAAGTATCTTTTTCTCAGTGTGTTACTCTCTAAAATATTTAAAATGGAATATAACTCTAAAAAGTGAAATCTCTAACTCTTAAAAATTGATAATTAAACCACTCTTTTTCAACACTGGCTCTTTGTCATTCTTCAGAATTATTATATATTCCAAAAATTTCCAAGAGTATATAAATAAAAAGTAATAAAAAGATAATATCCTCATTTGTCATAAAGCTGGATGGACACACCGCGCACAAATTGATTCGCTTATCGTCGATACTGGGCCGGGCCAATTTTTGTCAGCCCAGATATCAGATCGTAATTCATAACGCAACGTGAAATATTCAACATCCATCGTTCACATCGTATCTGGGCAAATTCGAATTCAAAGATCCTCTAAGCTAGGGTTGCTGACTCTTTGCGGACGTGTAAGCGCGTCGACTGGTATGAATACTCGTCATGCTATCTCTAATACACGCGACGAGCATTCTGCAGGTTATTTTAGATGCACATTCGCCTTCGTACGCGTCGACTATTTAGATTTTACCTAGAATAGAAACGCGCTAAGGACAGACAGACAGACAGACCAGATAACTGGATTGAATTTGGCACACAGACCGGTCTAATTATTTATAAATAGGAGAACCCGTTACAAGCGATACGATATGTATTGTTAATTGTTATGAATAATATATAAATGCTTCTTATAGCGAATCGAATTTTAGTGTGCTTGTTTCTTAATTTCAATCATCTCTATTGACAAAAATTAATGATATGCATAACGATTGAAATATTTTGTGTATGTATATCCATAAAAAGGTTTTTTTTTTATCAATTTAACGCAATATTACATAGTCAGAGAAAAACATACAAGATGGTAGCAACTATAAGTTTTATATGTAGAATGTACCGCTAGTTGAATAAATAATTTTATGGTTGGAGCTGTAAAATAATTTACTTTACTATGTTCTATTTACATTAATTCTATACATGAAACTTATATAATTGTTAAAGTTATAATATTAATTTGTATTAAATTCAAATTATTTGTAATTTTTATAGGTCGCCAATGTTTTTATTAAATATGTCAACAATTTAAACTGAAACAATAAAATTGGACAATTCAAGAAATGTATTAAATTTGACTCAAATTTAGTTTATTATTTATAAAGTGCATACGTGTTAATATGAACGTTGTTTGCTTTGAAACCAAACACGTAAATGTATTGATTTACATTTTGACGCACGTACAATTGACAAATGTTATTCAGCTGAAGGAATTGGTTACCATTGCCGTTTTGATATCCGACGTTAATAATGCCATCAACTATACTTTTCTCTGAGTGCAATATAATTATTTATCAAATAAGGTATTCGAAACCTTCAGATACAATTTCAGCGGAACACACATAGCAATTAAATCAAGATTATTTATCATCATCTTGACATGAATTTAACACTGTTAAATTCATCATATTATATTCTACCCAACTTGAGTTATTTTAATTATTTCTATCGGTCGCCACTGCTTCTATTAAATATGCCTTTAATTTAACTAAAACGATGGAGTCAATTTAATTCAAGAAATTGACATTAAATTTGATTCAAATTTAGTTTATTATTTACTAAGTGCATACGTATTAATGTGAACGTTGTTTACATTGACTAAACACATGTATTACATTTTAATGCACATAGCAGTTAAAATTAACGAAATGTTATTTGACTGAAGGAATTGGATTACTATTGCTTTTTTTTATATCCGCACTGTTAAATCTACAGTGTCAAATTTAATATAATTTAAACCACTCCTATACTCAATACATCGTTATTTTATATTAAAACAATGGATAAATTTGATACTATATAGAGTGCGTTCCATCAATAACTCACAATGCTCGCATGTATTATCTCATCCTTGTTTAATATTTGATGACAAGAAGGATCAAATAATACTCGCGAGTGTTATTAACGTTAAGTGGAACGCATCTATAAAATTGACACTGTAGTGTCAAATCCATTGTTTTAGTATAAAATAATGATATATTGAGTAGAAACAGTAGCGGCTTTATAAATTAGATTAAATTTGACTATAGATTTAACAGTACGACAGTATCTATAATGCCACCATATTTTTCTCTAAGTGTAATGTAATTACTTATCAAGGTATATTCAAATATAAAACCTTTAACTACAATTTCAGCGAAACACGCACTGCAACTAAGTCAACATTATTTATCATTTCACATAGCTAAATTTACGATGTCAAATTTATACTCCCAACTTGAGTTATTTTTAATTATTTCTATACATTGCCAATATGTCATTAATTTAACTAAAATAAAGTTGAACAGCTCATCGAACTCAAGAAAATGTGTTAAATTTCATTGAAAAATTTAATTTATTATTTATTAAATAAATGCATATGTTAATACGAATGTTATTCACTTTAAAAACTAATCACAGAAATTGATTAATTTCTATTTCAGCACACAAGAAGTTAAATGTTATTTAACTGAAGGAACTGAGTGAAATAACATTTCCATCGCTCCTTTGATATCTAGCAGCGTATAATTCTTACTTTGAATAAAAAGATCTAATGCTTCGATTGCAACACAGCGTGATTCACAGCGTGATTTGAAGAAGTAAGAACGCGGCACATCATCTGCTCACGTCACCCATGCATAACACTCGATGCAATCGCTTACAACCCGTTCTCTATCAACTATCATAGCTCCTAAACTAAACGATCTATTCCAATCTATATCTCATTCGCGGCATCATCGGATATAAATAAATCATGCCCCAAATATCACCATTGACGAACGAGCAATCGCTCAAAGCATCGCTCGTAGGTTGACTTCCGCGAAAGAAGAGAAGACGGTTCCAGTTCCGCGAAACAACGTTGCAACTTTTCAATCACGACCACTTCGTCGATTCATTCTCAATGAACGATGCTTTCGGGCCGAGGTACAGGCACTCATCGGACGGCGAAAATGAAAAGGGGCGAAAATACGCTTTCTTCGAAATAACAAATTTTAAATCTCGGCGAGTTCAAAGTAAACTTAAAACTTCGCAGGTTGAATGAGAAGCACGATATATATATATATACGTCGTTTCAGTCCCGGAGTCTCCGTCTCCACACAAAATCAATTTTCAACTTTTTTCTAGCCCGGCTTAACTCAATTTTTGACGACGCATCGAGATAACTCTCCGTCGTTCTATACTTTCAAAATAAGGTTTTTCGTTCTATATGGGAAAGGACGTACGGAACGTCCTGTAGGGAGAGAGTCAACAACGAAGTTTCCAAGTGACGAAGTCGCGGAGCATCCGGGGATACGAAAGAGAGAGAGGGAATCGTTGGCATACCTTACGCGGCTCCGGTGCGTAGATTCCAGGTAAAGGCGTCAGCAGGTGTAGACCAGCGGGATTCGGGATACCGGAGGCCGGATGTCCCGGCGGAATTGGCAGCGGCACCAGCTTCAGGCCCCAGGGCAGATACCACGGCGCCGTGTGATGCATTCTGACTGGTGGGGCTCTCTCAACCGATGGACGTGTTGCTGGTTCGGGCGAGGATCACGCTCCAGGGCTGTGCGATACGACGATCGGCGAGGGTGGAGGGGGAAGGGGGGGTTGGGAGCGAGAGACCGGCGAGCGTGTAAACGCCGAACCGACGAGATCCGGATCCAACGCGAGAAAAAGCACACGTTTCCACGCGCGTATGTACGAGCGTGTTTTTTTTTTTTTTTTTTTTTTCCCTCGAGACGTCAGAGGTGATGAGAGACGCAAGGGGAGAGACGATCACCTTGACATTTTTCGAGATGGCTGTGGAGTGCTCCAGCACGAGTGTTCTTTTCCTCTCTCGACTAGCGCCCGCGTTCCTCTCCCTCGCGACGGCTTTCCACGCGAAAAACGGGAAGACGCGTCACACAAGGCTCGAAGGATGCGAGAGACGATTTCGCGCGATTACCGACGTCATCGCGCGCTCAAAAAAAAAGTGCATCAGGAGTGCAACAGTGCTGCGCGCGCGGGTCACACTGTGTCGCACACTGTGCGTGCGTGAGTTTTGCATACGCACACGTATGAAGAACGAGAGAGGGAACGGTATAGCGTATCGTAGATATAACACGTTTGTCTAGCGAGAAAGTATGTCCCTCAGGCAACAACGATCCGTTCGATGCGAGCGCGCGGCGTCGACTGATCGAGCGCTACGACGCGAGTGGCGAGCACATGGCCGCGCGCGTCGACTCCCACCATTCCCCCCTCCCCCCCCCTCGCTGCACTGCCGGCCACCACAGACTGCCGCAAACGAGTTTACTTCGAATTATGCAAAATGTAATTATCGACAAATACCTAAATTACATTCTGCGATCTCACACTTGTTCTTATAGAACCGTTAAAGTGAAAAATGTCTTAAAGAATTTCGAATCATCGAGTGTAAAATTTCCTGCTGTGTCTTATTTTTTTTGTCATTGTCTCTATTATTTTTACAACGATTAAGAGAGCAGTCCTCTGTAAATTTGTGAAGATCGATATTCCATCCATTTCTACTAATATAAATTAACTTCCTTTTTAATCTCAATTTAAATTGATTTTGATTTTTTTTTTTATTCTTGAATCTTATAGATGAAAATAAAAAGTGAGTTAAACGGAGATTAAAATTCATATATATTGTTAAAAATGAATATTAGTTGTAATTTTTGTCATGATACTCTGAAATTTTTTAAGTGAATCTCATTCGGAAGAATGAAATCTCACTCTTTTTCGAGATTCGTTCGATTTTTACTTTTTAGAATTCCACTTCAAAGAATGTAAATGTAATTATCGATAAATATCTAGACCATATTCTGATCTCAAACTCTTATAAAAACCATTAAAGTAAAAATTATTTTAAAGAATTTTGAGTCATCAAGTAAGATTTTCTGCAACTTCTTATTTTTATCGCCATTGTCTATTATTTTTACACTGAATGAGAGCAATTCTCTATAACTTTGTGAAAATCGATATTTAATCCATTTATGTTCATTCCTACCAATGCAATGTAACTTTAATCTCAGTTTAATTCAATTTTTTTTAATTCTTAGAACTAGAAGAAAATAAAAAGTGAATTAAACCGAGATTGAAGTTAATTTACATTGACAAAAATAAACATTAGTTCTAACTTTTGTCACGATACTCTCTAAAACTTTTAAAGTGAATCTCACTTCAAAGAAATCTCATTCTTAAAGATTGAAGATTGAATCACTCTTTTTCGAGATTGGCTTAATTTTTACTCCTAAAAGTGAGATTCCAAAGAATTTAAAGAATTAGTATCAATTTTATTGTACTGCATCAAAATTAAAAACACATTTTTTTTAATATTTATACAATTGGAAAATTTATGTTTTTAACACACTTCACAGGTCCACAAATTTTTGTGTTAGAGACAAGATGAATATATTAGGAAACAACACAATTATTATGTAAAAAATTAACATAAAGACGTAGCAATTACAACTTTACTGTAAGCAATCTTAAATATATTCATTTATTAAAATTAACATTTATAATATTTACAATTATAATTTTAAATTAACATATTTCAATAAATTTAATATGTAATTTAATTTGTAATATTAAATTAAACATTTTATTCATTTATGTTAGAATTTATGTTTTTGAAAAACATAATTTTTATATTATTTATTTATTTACTCATAAATTATGTTTTTTTTTTACACTAAGAAATGTTGAACATCAATTTAACACAAAATATTCAAATAATACAATCACATTAAATTAACACTAGGATATATTAAAAATTCAATACAAAATTTTAACAAAGACTTGAACGAAGCGTCTCTAACACAAATAAAAAATGATTTTTATTGTAATAAGTCTTACGTAGACTTGTGCATCGTAAAACACATCATTCTTATGTAACATTTCATGAAAATTATCGATAAATAATTTACACTGATATTTTTTGAACTCAACTTGCGGTAACAATTTATAAAAAAAAAATATAAAATTTTACAGAATTGTGAGTACAGAATTAGAAACGCAAAACTTTTGATAGACAGAGGAATCATGCAGCCAGAGGAATATTCGGGACTAAACTCGGTAACTTTGTTCCAAGGAAATCTCATTTCTATGCTCGGAACCGATGGTGCGCGGACGTCGCAGAATCGAGCTTTGATGTCAGAAGACACGTTGCTACGAGCATTGACTCGCTCACGAGAATTAAGGGATATATCCACCGAGTGGTAACTTATGCTGAATCCGAATCATTCAGTTCGCTGGCTCGCTGATTTCGGAGTAAACCCGGTTGGCCCACTGAACAGAAGCGCTTGACGCATGTCTACGTCAGAGATATAACGGAGATTCAATTCACGAGTAATCTAGACGTAAACCACGAGAGAGAGAGAGACTCGATGTCAATGCAAACCGAAGATATAGCGGAAAACGTGTAAAACCTCTACGTAACGAGTAATAAAAAAGTTCATGAGATAAAACAGCTAATTTTAGCTGAAATAATTGAAGGTGCAAATAAGAAGGAGCTGTACGATGCGCAAATAACGATAATTAATCACTGTCGTGATAATTAACGATAAAAGTAGGAAAATAGCAACCGGCGTGACAAAGTAATCACTCAATATGGGCTTTCCGGAGCAGCCAATGGTCGCTCTATGATGAAGAGATAAAAAGAAAATTTTCCACATTTTTTTACGATAAAATAAGAAGGGGAGATTAAAATTTTCACTTCGCGGTTCAATCGTAGTTCAGCATAGCGCTTTAATTAGAAAGTAAATTTACGGCATGCCATATCCGAGCCGATACTCGTGCCTGGAATGCACGGGTAATTCGGAGGAATTATAATTGAGTATAGTTTAATTAGACTGTCCTGAAGTTGGATGTACACCCAACAACTGACCCCATCTAACTTCAGTCCCGGAGACGGCTCGTGTCCGTCGTAATGCGACCCCCGTCGGCTCGATTATATCACTTATTTATCGATATTACTTTACAAATTATGTAAACTCCGGACAAGTTCTTAGTCAATGGTGATGCGAACAGACGCGACGGCAAACATATAACTTGTACCAATATCAAGGAAGATGGAAACACGGCATTACACCGAGTCGGTGTATTCGAAGTGGAACTGGAGCGACCGATGTTTCGCGGCGCGCGCTGAGGTAGAAAGACAAATATCTTGCGTGTAAACACGTGATGTGTTTCCCTCCATTCACTTTCGAGCCGCAGAGTGACGTCGGCCATTTCATTTCCATGGCATTGAAATGTATATAGGGTACGCTTGAAAAGACGGAAAACGGGGGAAATCAATAGCGAGAAAACGGAGCTTTTCTATTTACACGATGTACATAACCGTGTAATTCGCAAAAATCTCTTGTGACTGTCGTTTGTAAAAGAAAGATGATCGATGCTCGCCTATCGACATATCTGTCGCTTCTCCCTCGTTCAGCTTTTGGTACGAGTATCGTACATTCAAGCAAAAGTCCACGCACTGTATCATGAAAGAAGACGGATATATCGACTCGTAAAACAAGGTTTATCTGTATGAGCGATCAATTTCTTCAATTGCCTTCCTCGATACTGCTGCCGGCGAATAACTGTGTGCGCGAGATGCACTAGATGTAATGTGTCAAAGTAAATATTGACAAACGATTCGATGCACACGAGAGATTGTCGGCTTTAATATTAATACGCTGATGACATTTCTTGCTAATAATGGTTTTATCACTTTCCGAAAGTTTCCTGACTCGTTGATTAACGATTCTGTTAATTGGATGTATTACACATTAGGATGTATTTGATATACATATTTTTAAAAAATGATGAAAAAGTTATGAAAAAATTAGATTATTTTAAATCGCTTTTTTAAATAATAAAAAAGAGTTTAGTGACAGTTTACCATCTGGATCAAAAGTTATTTCAAAATAGGTAATATTATTTGAATCTACGCCTTAATAGAAATGTATGGAAATGTATTATAAAATAACGATAAAAATCTTAATTTTTTCATACAAGTACTTTAAGTATTCGAGATGATTTATGTAAAGTCACATTACGATGCAAAGAATTAGTTTGTTTCATAAATAAACAAAATATTTATTTCTTCTAAATCTTTGTAAAGTCTAATCTCTGAATCGCAATAAAACTTTAAATAAATTATTTTGAATATTTAAAGTACTTATGCAAAAAAAATTGAAATTTTAATCATTACTTTTACAATTTTAATTTATAAAAACAATGTAAATAAAGTAAATAAAAAATAAATAAAGTAAATAAACAATGAAAACGTTGTTCATAAAAAATAAATTGTTAAAAACACAACTTTTTTTATGTACATAGTTTATTTAAAAATAATTTATACTTTAAATAAAACTATATAATTTATGTACACTGTTTAAAGTATAAACTATTAATACAATTGTAAAAATATAATACATCCTTAATATATCCTTATGAACACTTATAAGAATCAAAAGCGAATACAAAAGAAATTCTCTACTGGGAAAAACTTATTATTCTAGCAAAATTGAAACCCGGTTCAATTATGATCAAGTCTCAAAGGTGCTTCGTCCAGCGATTCTACAAGGAATTCCGACATTGTTATTCAGTTTAACGGAGCAGCAAAAAGGACGAGAAAAGCAACTGAAAACTTGGTGAGAGGAAGAATCCACGAGCTGCTCGTGACATCGTATTAATCCAATCGAAGTTTTGCCTAAGAATCGAAAGAACATCGACGACAAAATTTGCAAACGAAACTTTTCCTATTCGTATTGCAATAAAATTTACATTTCTGCGCGCATTTCCGAATTGGTAAAATGGATCTTGAGAATATTAGTTGAGGCGACCGTAAGCGAATATTTTAGTTATACCAATAAAATTTGCGGGATATTAAAATATAGGCAAGAAGAACTTCTATGTAAGTTTTTGATATTTTCCACTAGTCAAACACTTTCGAAACTTTTTATACGTTTTTTATCGAGATCAAAGTTTCGGACACTACGTAAAAGTAAGTTACAAACAAAAAGAATTAATCTGTTTGAAAAAAAAACCCTCTGGCAATCGCAACGACTAGATCTTCGAGCCTGATTCGCGACCTGAAAACTTTAGAAGATCCTCGCTCGTAGATAAAAGCCAAGAAGCTTGGCGTGCATTACCGTAAAGTGTATTCGTCGCGAACACATTTCGCGGTT